GACCTGTGGAAGAGGTTGGTGGAGCTGAGGAAGCCAAGGTCCAGAGGAGAGGTCCAGGTAAAACAACATGAAACACTAGAACTAATAACATACGAGGAAACAGGAGAAAAATAGTATAATACGCAATGTAAAGAAGGCTAACGACATAGAAAGAACCAGCAAGGGAGTGAAGGTAAGGCCGGGTATAAATAGGGAGTGACAAAGGAGGCGCAGCTGAAGAGTGTCAGAAAATCAGGACAGGTGTGTTCAATCAAGAGAGTCAGTGAGAAGGAGCAGACTAGAGCGAGAAAGAGAGAAGAGAGGAAGGTGCAGCCGGGCAAACCTGACAGTCAGAGCTCAGCAGTGAACACAGAGGTTGATACCTTTTACAGATTTTGAATTTTGACACACAAAATGTTCAGCTCTTTAAGGTCAACAATTGTGTGTATTCAACTTTTTTGTAACTTTTATACTTTTTAAAATATTCAGGTTTGTTCAGAATATTTTGCCCCATTCAAATGAATGGGAAAATCTTCAAATCTTCCTCCTCTTTCAGCCTTAACCAGTTCAGTATACCTTCAGTTAGAAAAACCATTCAGCAAATCTTTATCTATTAAAACATGTATTCAGCTTTTAATCAAATTTACAGATTTTGAATTCTCGCAGTTTACTTTTTATGGTGATTTTGGAAATTTCTCTGCTTGTGTGTGTAACATAACCCGTACTTCAGCCTTTTCACAATTGTTCTTGTTTTCTGCTCTTATTCTGTCAACTGTAAACTTTCACACACAATTCATACATGAAAACGGTAGAGAAAATGGTGAGGAATCAGAAAATGGCCTTGTTTTTGCAATAGGATGAATGGTTTTTGAATGACGTGGCATATTTGAGAGATTTGAGAGAGAGTGCCACCTCACTCTGAAAAAGACAATTTAGAAAATCCCTGCGAAGCAAAAGTGGGGGCATTTGTAAATCGCCACAGCTCCTTTATTTTGTGGAATATCTTGACATAGAGGTGATCGTTTTCATTGAAACCTCCTGCCGCTAATAGTGAAGAGATTTTTTTCAATAGGACTTAGTTTTTCTTCCATTGTCAATTGTTCGAAGCCCATGTTTGACTGAAATCTGCTGCAGTGTCCTCAAACTGCTGAGTCTCTTAATGATGCACCTGCTACTTTTACACTCACAAACAGCAACAGAATAACACACAGAATAACCCCCCCCACACACACACACACACACGTTGGTCTGCCTGCCTTTAAAATAAGAGCCATGCGATGTTCAGAAACAGATTCAATGTAAACGTTTTCAACAACCGAATGTCCAGTTCCTTTCAAAGCTCAGAGCTTTGCTCTTTGTTACTGTCAGCTAGTTTGTTTTGTCCTAGGAGAACACATCACACAGCGCCGTTTAGTCAGGCCAGCACTGGCTGGGTTGTGCTTGTGGTTATCAGGACGTTACAATGTCACTCTGAAGGATACTGCATATTGACTATAAGGGCCCCAGATTATAAACTGGTGTGAAATGAGTGCTCCATACGATGTCAGATTGTCAAAATAGAAGCCCCTGATTACAGATTAAGGTCACATGAAGGCCCCAAAATGTGCCTGACTTTCAAAATAAAAGCCCGTGAATACAAATTAAGCTCTAATGAAGGCCCCCAAATGTGCCAGATTTTCAGAATAAAACCTCCTCTTTAAAAAATAAGATTACATGAAGGCCACAAAATGTGCTTCATTCAAATGAATGGGGGAAATTCTACTTCAGCATGCTTTCAGCTAGAAAAGCCATTCAGGTGTCTAAATGTTCAGCTTTTTCAGGGTGATCCTTCAGCACTCAGCATCCACATGCATTTTCTGAAGAAAATGCATTTCTCTAGTCTATAGTTTGAGGAACAAGGATCTGCAAGAGTCCATCAGAAGGACTCTGGTCAGGTTCAGGTCTCCTACTGTTTTAGCCTGGGAAGCCTGCCCTTCTACTAACTGGACACAAGAGAAAAGGCACCTGAGTAATCAGGCAGCTTAAATTCCATCTGAGACTAAAACATGATGTTTATTTCAATCATACTGAAAACCTCCTACTTATTATGTATGTTTAAGATAAATGTTAAACATATTTAAGATTTAAAAGTACACTTTTTTGTTCTATACCATAAGAAAACATACCAACACATTCTGCACAACACAGCACAGGATATTAAAGTTGTGTCCAATATCTGTTTTACCTAGTTTGATTTCAACATACCCCAGATTTTCTCAAGTTTTTGTTGTACCAATTCTGTAAGGCTTTATATAACTCACTAGTAAAACATTTTGCTGTATCTAAGCTGAGCAGTATCCTCAGTAATCACATCCATCCATCCATTCTCTATACTCATTATCTCAACAAGGGTTGTCGGGGGGCTGGAGCCAATTTCTCAATACTCCCCTATCTAAAGAACAGATCCATGGAGGCATTGGGCCACAGTTAAATTGTGATGCCTGCAGTTTGGTCTTTTGCCATGATGCTTGGTCCTTTTACAGTGTATGACCTTTTTCTAGAGAAAATATTTAGTAAGTACATTAGTGAGTGGCTGGACAAGAAAAGAAAAGAAAAGGCCATGAGATGTGCAAAGGCATTCTCTTGGGCTCAGCAGCCACTAGGACTTTTGTTTGTCTCCCCAGGATATCACACATGACCAATTAGCAGCTCTGTTTTGTAACGGTCAATTAAATGCACCAACACAAAATGCTTTAAGTGCATATCCAATGCACGGAAAGTCCTGAAGCAGCCCTTAAACCTCCCAGAGGAATGTGATGAATGCTTTCAGAACATTTTACTTTACTTTAGTGCATATACGGTGCTGGCCTCGCATACTGTACACACACGTACACACACACTACCTCATATACTGTATATATGCATATATAAAAGAAAAGACTGTCGCAATAAAATGGTTGTGGTTGCCTAATGGTGTGTCAGTCTGATTTGTTTAGCCATCTCTGTTACAATGCGACACACAACCATTTATTGACATGCAACCGAACAGGACTAGGAAGCTAACAAGAATGTGCTGGGAAAACATTTCATTGAGGAATTATAAATAAGAGGAATCATTCTCAGTACCTTATGGTACACTCGGATATACCACTTAACTGCTTATTGAGGTCAATCGACAAGTGGACATGATATATGTATATGGACACATGGTCAGTCTTAAAATATGCAGGGAACCGCTTTAACACTCTCAAAATAAACTCTTGTTGCTGATAAATGTATTATTTTTCCTTGAACAGAGGGAAGAACTTCTGTACATTTTTACATTTTTAAAGAAGTGCTTAAGTGTCTTTAATAAAAACAAACTTTATTTTTAAAAAATTTACATAAACATCTACAATCTATCATTTTATACTTTATAATTACAATCATCTGGGCCCCGCAAGGAAGGCCAAGTCCCCACAATGTCAGTATTAGGTGTGTGTGCCCACACACACAGACACCCATTCAGTAATTAAAGTAAAATATGAGTTTCTATAATGAATCTTTAATGAGGATCTCAAACACCTGAAGCAGACAGTTGTTACCCTGGTAAAGACAATTACGTGTCTGTGTTTACTTTACAGATGCTTGTTTATAACCACAGAGGAAACTAAAAGTCGGTCCCTCTGGTGTTCCTTTGCTATCCTGTGTCCAATTTACATTTTTGATGCAAAGGATCTGATGTAACTTTGTGTAATTAATGTTTCTCGGCCTCATTATAACCTCCATTATAATCAGAAGAAAGGTCAGTTGTTGAAAAGCCAGAGTGTGGAGCTAAGATGAAGTCCTGCCTTTATCAGACTGAACCTGACTGAGCAGAGCCGAGTCTGATTCACATCTTCAGGTAAGATGATGATGTTCGCATGTTGTATAGATCATGGTCTGGTGTTTGCAAGTTGTTTTCTATTGTGCAGGGGCTGGAATGTTTAAAGCCTGATCACTGTTTATTACCTGTGTGTTTGTTGTGTGCTATCAAATGGAGCTTGTGAACAGATGAAGTTAGTCTGCACTTGTTGTCTGTTGACAGCAGATCTGTCTCCATCCAGCCATCTATCCATCTGTCTGTGCTGAGGAGAAATGGAGCTTTGGCCGCTTCAGGTCTCACTTGAAAGCCCCAGAGGTCCGTGACTAATTCTGTGCTTTTCATTGTGTTGCTGATTCTGGTGCACTGGTTTCATGTGAGGCTTAAGCTGATGTATGGTAATGTTACAGATAAGAACTTTAGGTTAAAAGGTATAAATATTCTGTGGTATAACTTGCTTTTCTGTGCATTTGTATCAAGACTATTTGTTTTCTAGTAACCACAAATAACACAACCTAACTTCATTTGCTAATGCCTGCATTCTTCTTCCACTGCTGAGTTGCTTTTCACTTATACTGTATAGTGACTGCTGCTTTTTTAAAGTGTTGTAGCTGTATACTACATTCATGAGGAACAATAATGATTTGAGATTAATGCAAAATATCAGTGTACTTTGTGTTCACATACACACCCTAGCATTTTGCTAGTAAGGACATTAAAGTATGCAGCTGGAACAAAACATGTTTACCATGTTGGAGCTTAAAACCTCTGCTACCTGAGAGAAGAGGAAACATTTACATCTTCAGATTTTGTGATAAATTCACTTCAGTTCATAATACTCTATTTAGCATATGCAGATCTTCAGCTCCATAATATTTGCTTGCAAAGGTAGTGTAGATATTGTTATTGCTTCCTGATTATTTGGACTGTTAATTATGCCACTTTTGTGTAAATAGTAATATTAATTTCAAAGTAAATGTAGTTTAAATGACATAGCCTGGCAGTGTGTTATTTTTAACAACACACTGTGTTGGGGCAACTGTGGTTGAGCGGGTTGGCGGCTCAATTCCCAGTTTCTCCTATAACAACATTTCATACTAGTTGTATGGAAAAAATTGTTTCTAGATCATTTTCATATAAAAATAATCCAGGTCATAAGTATACAACTAAATGTAAAACAGAGCATACAAATACATGGTACTCTCCCATGTATTTCTTCCTCGCCAACCTCTCCTTTGTGGATATGGTCTATACCACCACCACCATCCCCAAGAAGTTGGTTGGTTGCATTACTGCAGAAGCTGCACCGATCCGCCTGTCAATCTCCTGTTCTATCCTTCCCTCACTCGTGAACAAGACCCTGAGATACTTAAACTGCTCCACTTGAGGCAGGCACTCTCCACCAACCTGAAGGGAACAAGCCACCCTTTTCCGACTGAGAACCATGGCCTCGGACTTGGAGGTGCCTGTATCGGCCGTTATGTATTGAATGAATGATTTTTAATTGTGTTCTTTGGACTTTTTTTCTCATATTTAGTTGCATGTATATACAAAATTAATTTTTACATGTTAATAATGAGGATGAAACTCTGAACACACTGAAGTAAAATTCCATGTGACCCAGTATGAAATGCACCATTCACCAGGTGAACATGGACCATAACCCTTCTATGGACCATGAGCCTTGAAGTACACTCAGCCTCCTGATGTCCTGACTGTGACTCAACACTGACACCTCTCTACTTGTGTCTCCAGATTCAGACCCGCCCATGTCGACCAGTCACAGATCCAGCTCTGTTAATGGCACCAGGGAGCCTGACGGTGTCACTTTCTTCATTCTCCAGGGCCTCTCCAGCCTCGGTGACAGACAGATGATCCTGTTTGTCATTCTGCTGCTGGGTTACATCATCACTCAGGGAGGAAACAGCATGATCATCTTTCTGGTACAAAACAAAGCTGTCTGTATTTAGTGAGTATTGTCTCAGTCTGACCAAATTATTAGTTCTGTAATAATTGCCACTTTCCCCACACAGACACAGACTGATCCAAAGCTCCACTCTCCCATGTATTTCTTCCTCGCCAACCTCTCCTTTGTGGATATGGTCTATACCACCACCACCATCCCCAAGATGCTGGTTGGTTTCCTGTCAGATGTGTCAACCATCTCTGTCCCAGGCTGCTTCCTTCAGATGTTTTTCTTCATTCAGTTAGGCATTACTAGTCGTGGCATCCTGACGGCCATGGCGTATGACCGCTACCTGGCCATCTGCCACCCTCTGCACTACACTTCCATTATGACCCAGCACATCCAACTTCTCCTCATTGCAGGAGCCTGGGCCTTCGGCACCTTCTGCACACTGCCAGCCAACCTCATCACCTGGCACCAACCTTACTGTGGCCCAAATGTGGTTAAACATGGCTGGGGTGACCCGTCATCTGTGAGGCGCCTGGCCTGTGCTGACACCTCAGTGGATAACACTGTGTCCCTTTCCTTGGCTCTGGTTGCACTGCTGACAACAGGAGTCCTCATCCTGACCTCCTATGTCCTGATTGGTATTTCAGTATCAAGGATGAGTGTTGCTCAGAGGCTGAAGGCGTTTGGGACATGCGTTTCCCACCTTACAGTGGTGTCCATCTCTTACACTGCAGCTTCCTTTGTCTACATTTCCTACCGGGTAGGAAACCTGTCACCAGAGGTATGAGACATAATATGATTTTACAGTAATATTTATTATTGCCTTTGTTTTAGTCTATCTGATGTATAGTCAACAAAAATATTTATGAAGCTATTTTCAGTGTAAGTATTTAAATCATGACTATCGTTGACTTTCAAGGCTCATTCTTCACGTCAGAAATACCCCCAAGGTCAAGGTCAAGGTCAAAGGTCAAAGTGTTTATTTGTCATATGTACAGTTAGGAAACGTGTTTCCCTGTACAATGAAATTTTTACTTTGTCGTCCACATGAATGCCACACAATACAAGTGAAATATAAAGTAGATAAGCAATAACACAAATCTAAATAGGCAGTAAAATCACAAATCTAAGGCACTTTAAAGCAGCAAGTGAAAGAGGCAAATAAAAATACAACAAGAACACAATATAATGCATATAGAATATATGCTACGTGGGAGCCGTGGTGTGTAAATGCTCAGCAGTGAGTTTGCAATTGGGCATGTGCAAATTGACTATGTAAACAGCACAGATGGAATTACATGAGGTAGATCCTGAGTCAGCTGTTTAGGAGTCTGATGGCAGTCAGAAGAAAAGAGTTTTTCACTCTAGAGGTCCTGCATTTCACACTTCTGAGCCTCCGACCGAAGGCTAGGTATATGAACAGTTCGTACTGGGGGTGGGTGGGGTCCTTGAGGATGGAGGCAGCTTTCTTACACACCCTACAGTGGTAAATATTCTGCAGAGAGGGTAGTGGAGTCCTGGTGATCTTCTCCTCAGTCTTTACCACTCTCTGCAGGCGCTTGCGGTCCATAGCAGTAGTGCTGCCGTC